TAATATAGTCAAAACCTAGAAAGAGAAGGAAAAGAAAGAAAAGGGGAGTGAAGGAAGGAGGGAAAGAAGGAGAGAAAGAAAGGAGGAAGGTTGGCCACAGCAGAGGGAAGGAAGAAAGGAAGAAAAAAGGAAGGAAGACAATGGGAAGGAAAGGGAGAAAGAAGGGAAAGAATTGAGAAGGAAATGGAAGAAAGAAAAACATTGAAAGAAGGAAATGGAAAGGAAAGAAGGGAAAGAAAGGAATGGAGAAGAAAAGGGGGAGAAAGAAAAATCGGAAGGAAGGAAGAAGGAAAGGGGAGAAAGAAAATAATGGAAGGAAGAGAAAGGGTAAAGGTATGAAGGTTGGAAAATAGAAAAGCGACGACAGTGACTGGATGGCCATCTGTTGGGAGGGCTTTGATTGTGTCTTCCTGCCTGGCAGAATGAAGTTGGGCTAGATGGCCCTTGGGGTCTCTTCCAACACTGGGTAGCTACACTTGTATATTAAATAGAGAGGAAAATGAAAAACTTTCCTGTTGCGTGGCTAGTAGTGGGTCCTGTCTCTCTCCTTGAAGGACTTGTCATCCCAAAGATCTTGGGTGACTCACCTCTAGCTGGGCTGCTTCCTGGAGGCACCTTGTTCCCAAGGAGCTGCCTTGAGTAGGAAGCCATATGCCGCTGGGGAGCAAAATGAGGCACCGGGAGCTTGCGGGTCGGGGTTAGAGCGGAGAAGGTTAATCGCCGGGTAATTAATGCCACCCCCTTTCAACAGCCTGGGAAGCCTTCTTAACATCTGGGAAAGCTCCTTAAGATGCCGTAATATAGAAAGATTGGAGACACATATTTTCATTGGGATTGGAGAGATTATCCATTATTTTCATGGATGTTCAGCTTATTTTTCTGTGACTTGTAAGAAATGCTCAGAAGCTTCTGCCTAAGAGCTCATAGAATCATAGAGTTGGAGGAGACCCCAAGGGCCATCCTGTCCAGCCCTATTGTACCATCCTGAAAAACACCATCAAAGCCCTCCCGACAGATGATCATCCAGCCTTTTAATCATCAAAAGTTGTTGTTGTTACCATTATTGAATCCTAGAGTTGGGAAAGACCCCAAGGACCATCCAGTTCAACCCTATTCTGCCATGCAGGAAGACACAATGAAAGCCCTCCTGACAGATGGTCATCCAGCCTCTTCATCATCAAAAGTTGTTGTTGTTACCATTATTGAAACCTAGAGTTGGGAAAGACCCCAAGGACCATCCAGTTCAACCCTATTCTGCCATGCGGGAAGACACAATCAAAGCCCTCCTGACAGATGGTCATCCAGCCTCTTCATCATCAAAAGTTGTTGTTGTTGTTACCATTATTGAATCCTAGAGTTGGGAAAGACCCCAAGGACCATCCAGTTCAACCCTATTGTGCCATGCAGGAAGACACAATGAAAGCACTCCTGACAGATGGTCATCCAGCCTCTGCTTACTATGATGATGATGATGATGATGATGATGATAACTAATGATGATACTGTAGCTGCCTTCTCTCGAGGTTTTTAAGCAGAAGTGGAATGACCCTCTGTTGGGAGGGTTTTGATGGTGTCTTCCTGCATGGCAGTAGGAGATTGGACTGAATGGCCCCTGGGGTCTCTTCAAACTCTATGATTCTATAATAATAATAATAATAATAATAATTGTACCATCCAGAAAGACACCATCAAAGCCCTCCCGACAGATGGTCATCCAGCCTCTTTATCATCAAAAGTTGTTGTTGTTGTTACTATTATTGAATCCTAGAGTTGGAAAAGACCCCTAAGGACCATCCAGTTCAACCCTATCGTGCCATGCAGGAAGACACAATCAAAGCTCTCCTGACAGATGGCCACCCAGCCTCTGCTTACTATGATGATGATAATAATAATAATAGATAATAATGATGATAGTGTAGCTGCCTTCTCTCGAGGTTTTTAAGCAGAGGTGGAATGACCATCTGTCGGGAGGGTTTTGATGGTGTCTTCCTGCAAGGCAGTAGGGGGTTGGACTGGATGGCCCCTTGGGTCCCTTCCAACTCTATGATTCTATAATAATAATAATAATAATTATTATTATTATTTATCATGTCAGAAGCAAATTGAAAATACACTTATAATTATAGTTACCGTATAATATAATAATTATAATTATATTATAACTGTAATCTTTTTATTATATATATAATATTGTATATATTATATGTAATATATGTGTGTGTGTGTATGTATATATATATGTAAGTATAAAATACAATGATGATGGTGATGATGATGATGATGCAGTTGTCTTCTCTGGAGGTTTTTTAGCAGAGGCTGAATGGCCATCTGTCAGAAGGGTTTTGATGGTGCTTTCTTGCACTGCAGATTGGGGTTGGACTGGATGGCCCTTGGGGGTCCCAACTCTAGTGAAATAGAGATTGCCTGGAAATCTGGTGGAGTTTCCTTCTCTGTAAGTTTTTAAATAGCAACTGAATGACCATCTATCGGGAGGGCTTTGGTTGTTTGTTCTTACATGATAGAATAGAGTTGGACTGGGTGGTCCTTGGTGATCCCTTCCAACTCTAGTGGAATATAGACTGCCTGGGAGTCTAGCAGAGTCTCCTCCTTTGTGTTTTTTCAGTAGCAGCTGGATGGCCATCTGTTAGGAGGGCTTTGATAGTGTATTCTTACACGATAGAATGGGGTTGGACTGCATGACTCATTGTATCTGTTCCAAATCTAGTGAAATATAGACTGACGTAGAGTCCAGTGGAGTTTTCTTCTCTGGAGGTTTTTAAGTAGCGACTGGATGGATGTCTGTCAGGAGGGCTTGGATGGTGTCTTCTTTCATCACAGAATAAACTTGACTATCCCTTTGAAATCAAGTGGAATATAGACTGCCTGGGAGTCCATTGGAGTCTCCTCCTTTGTGGATTTTAAATAGCAGCTGGATGGCCATCTGTTGGGAGGACTTTGATTGTGTGTTCCTACATAATATAATGGGGTTGGACTGGATGACCTATGGGATCTCTTCCAAATCTAATGCAATATAGACTGGCTTAGAGTCCAGTGGAATTTCCTTCTCTTGAGGTTTTTAAGTAGCGACTGGTTGGTTGTCTGTCAGGAGGGCTTGAATGGTGTCTTCCTCCATCACCGAATGATGATGATGATGATGATGATGATGATGATGATGCAGTTGATAGTGGAGGGTTATAAATAAAGTATTTATAATACAATGATGATGATGCAGTTGATGGTGGCGGGGTATAAAGTTTATTTATATTATTATTATTATTATTATTATTATTATTATTATTATTATTATTATTGGAGTCTGGTGGAATCTAGTGCTCTGCAAGTTGGGTGGTTGGACTGGATGGCCTCTGAGGTCTCTTCCAACTCTATGATTCTATAATAATATAATAATAATAATAATAATAATATGTTATTATTATTATTATTATTATTATTATCATGTCAGAAGCTAATTGAGAATACAGTTATAAGTATAGTTATAATAATAATATAATTATAATTATTATATTATATATATAATATTGTATATATATATGTATAAAATACAATGATGATGATGATGCAGTTGATGTGGCGGGGTATAAATAAAGTTTATTTATTATTATTATTATTATTATTATTATTATTATTATTGGAGTCTGGTGGAATCTTGTGCTCTGCAAGTTGGGTGGTTGGACTGGATGGCCTCTGAGGTCTCTTCCAACTCTATGATTCTATAATAATAATAATAATAATAATAATAATATGTATTTATCATGTCAGAAGCAAATTGAGAATACAGTTATAATTATAGTTATAATAATATAATAATAATTATTATATTATAATATTTTATTATATAAATAATATTGTGTGTGTGTGTGTGTGTATACACACAATGATAATGATGATGATGCAGTTGATGGTGGCGGGGTATAAATAAAGTTTATTTATTTATTAGGGATTGGCAATTATATGGGAGCCAAGACCTCCCTCAAAATGCCACAGATGTGTGACAAACCCAAATACTTCCATATAATTTTGCAGTTCCTCTCAAAATGGTTTCAGAAGTGACATCCCATCCCATGTAGAGGGCACCTGTGGTATCTAGAATATTATGAAGTGCTTGTGGGAGTTTGAAATGTTTCTCTTGGAGGAGAGAAGACTAGGAGGTGATATAATTACCATTTCAAATAGCTGGAAGAGTAAGGGAGGAGAAGCAGAAGAAGGTGAGGAGGGAGGAAGGTTGAGAGGGAGGGGAGGCGGGGGAAGCTAGGAGCTACGCGGAGGTACAGGTAGGCTATGCACGTGTGTAGGCCGCGGAGGGCTCTAGCACCCAATGAGGGTCGCGGCACACAGAAGCGGGAGGTCGTGTGTCAAAAAGGGGAAAATGAACACACATGAACACACAATCAAGGAAGGCCAAGGCTAGCGCGCGGAACATCTCGTACAAAGGAGGGTGGAAGAAAGAATAGTTCTAGGGTTAGGGGTTATGTACGAAGAAATTGGGAGTGTAGCACGAGGAAAGGCTAGCGAAAAAAAACAACGCAGATGTGACCAGAAGGTGTAGGGGCTCCGGGGGGTGCATGGAAAAGCTGAGATTGATGATGAGACATGGGAGGCACATAGACAGGGGGGGGGGGTAAGCAGCAGGGGAGTATTATTATGTAATTATATTATAACTATAATATTTTATTATATATATAATATTGTGTATATATATATTATATATATATATATGTATGTATGTATGTTTGTATGTATGTATGTATAAAAAACGATGATGATGATGGTGATGATGCAGTTGTCTTCTCTGGAGGTCTTTTAGCAGAGGCTGTGTCTCCAACTCTTGGCCCCATGTTGGGGGTGCCCAGAGTGGTGTCTTCCCGCATGTCGTTTGAAAACGTGGCTTGCACATTGACATAAACACCTGCACTCAGGGCTGGCTGCTTCTTGCATCTCTGACTGACATTTCCTTCCTTTTCTCTTTCCCTCTTATTTAGATAATTGCCTTTGACGAATTGCACATGGACTTCAAAAACCCCATTGACCAGGGCAACCCAGCCAGGGCAGTAAGTCTATACATGTCGTGTCCGAGGTGTGTCTGTCTCCTCCGTGCTCATTTGTTTGTCTTCCCCTCCCTCTGCCTCCCCACCCTTCCCTCCTCCCCCTGATCTGCACCTAGTTTATATTAGGAACCAGCAAGAAATGCCTGTCATAATGAGTGTTTTTTGGGGGGTGAGGCAGGGAAAGGTGCCTTCTCTGTATGCATCCTGCCATCGCCCAATGGTGCAGCACTGATGCTGCATGCCGAAATCCCAGATCTTTCGCATCTCCGCTTTGGACCCCTCCCATTCCCAAATCCGATAGATTGCCACAATTGGCACAATCGCTGCCGAAATTCTCTGTGATTTGCAGAGTCTCTCTTTGCCTTCCAAGCAAGGGAAATTATATCATGCAAGGATAGGCCATTTTGGAGGAACCGTGGACCATTATTTCCACAATTGCACCACTCAAGGGTCTGGATTCCATCAGCAATCATCATCATCATCATCATCATCATCATCATCATCATCATCATAGCATCCTAGAGTTGGAAGAGACCCTCCCCCCCAAAGGTCACCCAGTCCAACCCATTCTGCTATTCAGGAAAGATACCATCAAAGCCCTACAAACAGATGACCACCCAGCCTCTAATCATATATGATCCCCAAGGACCATCCAATCCAAGCCATTCAGGAAGACACAATCAAAGCCCTCCTGATAGATGGTCATCCAGCCTCTGGATCGCAGGATCCTAGAATTGTGAGAGACCTCAAGGACCATCCAGTCCAACCAATTCTGCTATTCAAGAAAGACACCATCAAAGCCCTCCAAAACAGATGGCCACCCAGCCTCTAATCATATATGACCCCCAAGGATCATCCAATCCAAGCCATTCAGCCATTCAGGAAGACACAACTAAACCCTTCCTGATAGATGGTCATCCAGCCTCTGAATCATGGAATCCTAGAGTTGTGAGAGACCTCAAGGACCATCCAGTCCAACCAATTCTGCTATTCAAGAAAGACACCATTGATGCCCTTCTGACAGATAGCCACCCAGCCACTAATCATAGATCCTCAAATACACACCGTTCTGCCTTTTGGGAAAGACACCATCAAGGCCCTCCAAACAGATGGCCACCCAGCCTCTAATCATATATGACCCCCAAGGACCATCCAATCCAAGCCATTCAGCCATTCAGGAAGACACAATCAAACCCCTCCTGATAGGTGGTCATCCAGCCTCTGAATCGCAGGATCCTAGAGTTGTAAGAGACCTCAAGGACCATCAAATACACCCTGTTCTGACTTTTGGGGAAAACACTATCAAGGCCCTCCTGACAGATGGCCATCCAGCCTCTATTCATAGATCCTAGATCCCCAAGGGCCATCCTATCCAACCCATTCTGCCATTGAGGAAGACAGAATCAAAGCCCGCCTGATAGATGGTCATCCAGCCTCTGAATCATGGAATCCTAGAGTTGTAAGAGACCTCAAGGACCATCCAGTCCAACCAATTCTGCTATTCAAGAAAGACACCATCAAAGCCCTCCTGACAGATGGCCACCCAGCCACTAATCATAGATCCTAGATCCCCAAGAGCCATCCAATCCAACCCATTCTGCCATTTATTTATTTATTTATTTATTTATTTATTTATTTATTATTTAAACTTATATGCCGCCACTCCCCTGGGGCTCGGAGCGGCTTACAAGAATAGCTAAAATCTAACAAAGTTTAAAAGCAATTTAAAACAATTTAAAAACAACAGTATCAAACATTAAAAGCCTGTCGGAACAGGTATATCTTACATGCCCTGCGGAAAGCTGGTAAGTCCCGCAGGGCACGAACTTCAGGTGGCAGAGCATTCCAGACTGATGGCGCCACTGCTGTGAAGGCTCTGCGTCTGGTTGCCGTTAGACGCAAGGTCTTGACACTGGGGACTTCCAATAGATCTTGGTCCTCAGAGCGGAGGGATCTCTGGGGTTGGTAGGGGGTGAGACGATCCCTCAGATACATTGGCCCCAGACCATGCAAGGCCTTAAAGGTGAGTACCATCACTTTGAAAGTGATCCGGTGCTCAATTGGTAACCAATGCAGCTGTAGTAAGATTGGTGTTATGTGGCATCTCATCGGAATTCCCGCAAGAAGCCGAGCAGCTGCGTTTTGTACTAACTTGAGCTTCCGAATCACCGACAGAGGGAGGCCAATGTAGAGGGCGTTACAGTAGTCCAGTCTTGAGATGACCGTGGCCTGGATCACCGTAGCTAGGTCGTCCCTGGACAGGTAGGGGGCCAGCCGTCTAGCCTGCCGCAGGTGAAAGAAGGTGGTTCTCCTAACGGAGGAGACCTGGCCTCCATTGTCAGCAGAGGGTCCAAAAGGACTCCCAGACTCTTTACCAATGATGACGGGCGTAACGCCTCGCCATCCAGGGTGGGCAGATGGATGTCCCCACTGCGCGGTCCACCCAGCCATAGGATCTCCGTCTTTGCTGGATTCACCCTCAACCTGCTGGCACGCAGCCATCCAGTAACGGCCTCGAGGCACTGATGGAAACAATTGGGTACAGAGTCCGGTCGGCCTTCCATCTTCAGCACCAGCTGAGTGTCATCGGCATACTGATAACACTCAAGCCCAAAACCTCGAACCAGCTGAGCAAGTGGTCGCATATAGATGTTAAACAACAGAGGGGAGAGAATGGCCCCCTGAGGAACCCCACAAGATAGAGGGGACCTCTCAGAGACCAGGCCTCCCCTCTCCACTCGCTGTCCACGGTTGTGAAGAAAGGAGGACAGCCAGTTTAAAGCTGTCCCCCTGATTCCAGCAACAGCAAGGCAGTGGGTCAAGAGATTGTGGTCGACTGTGTCAAATGCTGCTGTGAGATCCAATAGCACGAGCAGCGCTGACCCGCCCTGGTCATTCAGCCTACGCGTGATGCAATCCTAGAGTTGTAAGAGACCCCAAGGGAAATCAAATCCAGCTCATTCTGCTGTTTGGGAAAGACATAATCAAAGCCCTCCTGACAGATGGCCATCTGGCCTTTGCTTAAAACCTCCAGAGAAGGAGACTCCAAGACATCATCGTTACTATCTATTATTATTGTTGTTGTTATTATAATAATGTAATAACAACAACAACAATAATAATAGCAGAAGAGGATTGGACTAGATGGTTCTGGGTATCACTTCAAATTCTATGATTCTAGAATAATAGAAGCATTATTATTATCATCATCATCATTATTATTATTAATAACTAGCCGTCCCCTGCCACGCGTTGCTGTGGCCCACATGGGGGTTATGTGTGGGAGGTTTAGCCCCATTCTATCGTTGGTGGGATTCAGAATGCTCTGTGATTGTAGGTGAACTATAAATCCCAGCAACTACAACTCCCAAATGTCAAGATTCTATTTCCCCCAAACTCCACCAGTGTTCACATTTGGGCATATTGAGTATTCGTGTAGAGTTTGGTCCAGATCCATCATTGTTTGAGTCCACAGTGATCTCTGGATGTAGGTGAACTACAACTCCAAAACCAAAGGACACTGCCCACCAAACCCTTCCAGTATTTTCTGTTGGTCATGGGAGAACTGTGTGCCAAGTTTGGTTCAATTCCATCGTTGTTGGGGTTCAGAATGCTCTTTGATTGTAGGTGAACTATAAATCCCAGCAACTACAACTCCCACATGGCAAAATAAAAAAAAATTGAGTGAAGGACATACATTGGGTTGTTAGGTGTATCGTGTCCAAATTTGGTGTCAATTCCCCCAGTGGTTTTTGAGTTCTGTCAATATCACAAACGAACATTACATTTTTATTTATATAGATGATAATAATAATAATAATAATAATAATAATAATAATAATAATGCTTCTATTATTATAGAATCATAGAATTGGAAATGACACCCAGAGCCATCTAGTCCAATCCTCTTCTGCTATTATTTATTTATTTATTTATTTATTTTTGGGCATTTCTACCGATGCTCGAAATAAATATATATAATAAATATATAATAATAATAATAATAATAATAATCATAAAAATAATGCTTCTATTATTATAGAATCATAGAATTGGAAATGACACCCAGAGCCATCTAGTCCAATCCTCTTCTGCTATTATTATTATTATTATTATTATTATTATTAATGTTAATAATGCTTCTATTACTATAGAATCATAGAATTGGAAATGACACCCAGAGCCATCTAGTCCAATCCTCTTCTGCTATTATTATTATTATTATTATTATTATTATTAATGTTAATAATGCTTCTATTACTATTTGGAAATGACACCCAGAGCCATCTAGTCCAATCCTCTTCTGCTATTATTATTATTATTATTATTATTATTATTATTATTAATGTTAATAATGCTTCTATTACTATAGAATCATAGAATTGGAAATGACACCCAGAGCCATCTAGTCCAATCCTCTTCTGCTATTATTATTATTATTATTAATAATAATAATAACAATATTTATTTATTTATTTATTTTTGGATATTTCTACCGATGCCCGAAATAAATATATATTATAAATATATAATAATAATAATAATAATAATAATAATAATAATAATAATAATGCTTCTATTATTATAGAATCATAGAATTGGAAATGACACCCAGAGCCATCTAGTCCAATCCTCTTCTGCTATGCAGGAAGACACCATCAAACCCCTCCTGGCAGATGGCCACCTAGCCTTTGTGTTCAAATCCTTGCCAAATCACAGGTCTATAATTACAAACAGTGGAGGTGAATGTAGAAAAGGACATGGGGACGAAGAAGGGGGAATGTGGGCTTCCCTCCTCTCGCTGCAGCTGCTGCAGGAGGCTTCTGAGTGACACTTTTGGGGCGGGATCTCAAAAGGTTCCCGTGGCTAAATGTTCCCGGCTCCTGCCACGGCTTTGTGCTTTTTCGGAGGCTGACGAAAGCCACCTTTTATCCCAAAATTGCCTTGCACAACCATCCTGCTGGCTTCTGAACAGCAGCCCTTTCCCCCTTCCCACTCACTGA